TTGTGCATTGATCTTTGAGGCTTCAGATATGTAGCCTAAGCGGCAGAGCAAAAAGAGGCAGTTAGAGCTTTGCATATTCATATTTTTATATCTGTGGTGATCCCACTTCCAAACAAGGCTATATCTTCCGTGATATTTGCAAGAAAACGATCACATAAGCACATCATTACTCTCTCAGTTGAACAGTGAACAACTTACTTGCGCTCGTCAAGATCTCAGACGAGAATCTAGCTTCTGAGTCATCCAGACCTTGTTTGTGTAGCAAATGTTGCTCTGACATTCCTCGAGAACAGTATCTTGTTAATAGAATGAGAAAGCCAGAAGCCAGAAGCACCAAAGCTAGCACACCTCCTCCGATCACACCCACCATTACTCCCATATTTTTCCCTCCAGAGCCAGATTGTTTCGCCTCACGAATTTCCAAGCAATAAGATTCCACATGCTGATGCTGTGAGTCAGCAGATAAGCAATTCCCACCAGAATGAACAATTAGATCACCTGATTTGGAGCATAGACAAGTAGGCAAACTGCCTCTCAATCTATTGTTGGATAAATCGACAAATCCCAGTTTACTACTGCAGTCCACATCGTGTGGAAGCCACCCACTCAACATATTCGATGCGAAACTCAGATAACTGATGTTCGGCAGAGAGAAGAGTGCACCTGGAGGCACTCCTCTTAAACTGTTGAAAGAAACATCAAGGTATTGAAGGTGATTCAGTTGGCTATATTCCTCTGGCACTTGGCCAGAAAAGGAGTTATTATTGAGGAAGGCCATGACCAGTCCTTTCGGCAATGCAGGCAAGCTAGAACTAAGCTTGTTTCCACTTAAATTCAGAACGTGTAGGTTTCTCAATCCGCTAAGGTCTGGCAATTTCCCATCTATTTCGTTCCCTGACAGAATAACTTCACTCAGAGCGTTTACACTCTTGACTGAAGATGGGAATTCACCTGTCAGCCGGTTGTTCCTCAAGCTCAAAACTGTCAAATTTTTCAATGCATCAAACCAATTGGGCGCAGTGCCGTTAAAGAAATTATCATCCAGCACCAGAGTTTGAAGCCTCACCATAGCCGAAATCCTTGGAGGAACCGAACCGTAGAGGAAATTGGAGCTTAAATCCAGATGTTCAAGTGAAGACAAACGATGAATCTTGTCAGGAAGATGACCCCACATGCCCAAAGACACCAAATGAAGAACTTTGAGGCTGGTCAACCTCGCCAAAGTGCTCACAAAAGAATCCATGGAGAAGTTCTGCGACAATGTCTTATACGGTACTGCAAACCCTTCGAAGTAACCACCTTTAAGCACCTTATCGCCGGCTAACTTGAGCTCGGTAATGAAGTTGTTCTCACACGTGAGGTTGACAGTTGCGGATGTAGGGAGCGAGCAAAAATCCACTCCATGAACGTTCCAAATCTCCAGTTGCGGTGGATACTCCAACTGCTTTCTAAGCTGAAGCAGCACTTGGGTCTGCGACGACTGGAGTTGGTGGGTGTGTACAATGAGCGAACTCCACGCGACAGCGAAGCAGAACGAGGACAAGTAGTTACGAGACCCCATGAAAGATCTCTTCCTTTCTAAGGGAAGTTATGTCCACAACCCACTTCGCTGAACAAGATTCCAAAGCTAAAGCAGCTTAACATACCAAAACATAAGCCACCAAAGCGACGAGTAGTGTTTGGTGCTTACCCATCGGCGCAAAACACGGACCAGCATGAACTTGGCGGGTTCATTTCAGGGAAAATGCGCAGAATATTTCTAGAAAGGAAGAAACAAGAAGCAAGAAGTAGGGAAAGTCATAAAATCCTGGAACTCTCACTCTGTTGCTCCGTGGTGGGGATACGGTGGAGTTAATGCATTCAACAGCTACCACGTTGGACTGATATGATCTGTCTGTCTCGTGCAACGGGAAAAGGGGCACCGGTCATGGCTCGCTCGCTCATAATGACGACGAAAACGATGCACAACGCACAGACGAAGACATCTAACCGGAGCAGCGAACCAGCGAGCAATGCGCGAATTGATTCCCGAAAAAGGGTGGACAACGTCAAAGAGAAAAATCCTTCTTAAAACTCTGGAGTGTCACCAGAAAGACAGCTGCAGTTGGCTCGTAATATATAAGGAAGTGAAAAGAGCATATATAACTGGGTTCAGTAAAGAAAACATGTAAAGATTTGCTTTCTTGTTTTGGCCGAATATGTCTGACACCGTAGCGAAACAAGCCATTTTTCTTCGAATTTCGAGCCTGACACAGGGCGTTGAAGCTTTCAACTAGAAGTTGGTGGTCCTATCACATGGTCTATCGACTCGTTGGGAGTAATGTTTAGTAAAGTTTAACCACTCGAAAGAATCGTCAGACATAAGTTTTGCTGGATGAATCTCTAACAGAGGAGCATTATATTCGATTGTACGTCGACATCAAGTTGCATCAGCAGCCCCTTGGATTGGAGAGTGGGTTGTGAGTTTCATCACTGGTCCACGTGCTCAGTTACTTCTGACGGGCACTCGGTCCCATCCTCCCTGCCTGGCATCAACCAATGTCCTTATCTAAGCAAAAAGGGCCTCTCTTTCAATTCGGGTTTGCCACTTGCCCTGACGAGACAGGTTGTCCCTAACTCCAGATAATATACAAAAATGAGCCCCGACAGCAGATTCTTACAAGCACTTGCGCTTGCAATGTGTATTGTAGCAGCTTGGATTCTCATCGCACGACTTTATGCACCTTTTTCCCAGCACCTCTCACTCCATCTTACACAACCAGGCATGGGCATTGCCATACTCTACTAGCGATATCCGTGGATTAACTCATTTAGGGTATTGCCCCCTTTAGCGTACTGACAAGCACTTTTCTAAAATATTATCCATCCAGGTAGTGTTTTAACCTAAGCATGCTTAACTTGGGAGTTATAAAGTAAAACTTGCCGTTGTGTCAACAGATGCCTATGTGAGTTATTTCTAGCTTTCACATACATATCCCAACACGCTCTCTTTCATTTCGATGTGTAATCCGGTTCATTCCTGCCACGTTCACCATCTTCGAAGCCTATCAAGAGCCGCTCTTTATTTGAGCCCTTTGGCCCTCGGCGATCACTCCCCGCTCTAGTCGAATCAGATTGTTATGCTATGACACCACCAAAAAGAGGAGGAAAGAAAATGCCCCCATCAGAATTTCAAGAAACGCAGATTCTCTCTCTCCCCTATTTTTTAGGCCTGAGTGTGTGCTTAGGTTGAGGACAAGCTACTCTATCTTGCATCAACAATGTGCAGAAGGAGGCCGAGGCGCCTCTTTAGGGAATTAAATGTGGACAGTCTTGTCCAATCCTATCGTAGAATTGGGATTCTCCTAGCTACAAGAATTGATTGACAAATCAATACGACAAGCTATCAAATCCCCCATTATTCCAACAAGCGGTAAACATCTCAAACATTCCACTAAAGTTCTATGAACTATTTTCGTAAATCAAACACGTACACGACAGAGCTAAGGATAAATCTAATAGATGACCCCAAGGAACACATTATGAATCTAACAAGACATATCATGAACTTCATCAAATTCGACCAGTATGATACACAAGACAGTGGGCGCGCTGAAAACGATGAATCTTCTTCTGGCCAAAAGAAAATCCAAAAGTGGGGTGCCGTGGGAAAGAGGAAGTAGACTGGTGAGCATTGTTTCGGCCACATATTGCTAGCTCAGTTGAATGAATCATCATGCCCAACCCTCATGTGCAATGTGCACGGACCTCTTCTTTTATCACTTCACTCTTTTGGGGCATCTTTCTCTATGGAAAGTTGGAGGGGTCCTCTCCTCATCCTCCAAAGTTACCAAAAGCTTCCCATCTTCCCTATCGGATCACAAAAAGTCAGAAAAAAAAAACCCCACAAAAGACTTGGCCGTGCAAATTGATGCAAACCTCTAAGCATCACTCATCCAAAATCATAGCTAATGTTAGTGACTTCTTGCTCAGTGTGCCCATTTTATAGAATCCTCCTCTAATTACTATCCCGAGAATCGGATATTTCGGTGGTTCGAAGAAAAAATTGAGCAATTACGGGTTAAACTTGTGTCTCTGAAAGTATAGACTCGGCCTATAATCCTACTATATGTCTTTCATTTATCATTTTATGATATGTTAATGAAATTGATTATTGAGACCACCAATCGTGTAAATGGGTCCGAGTAAAAACACAGATTTCGTAAACCTAATCAAACCATTAAATCATACAATTTTGAAAAAGGAGGTTGTCCTTCATTCGCTTTCCTCAAGATGGGCCCCGCCTATCATGAGTGCGTGTTTGGGCTTGCTTTTCGGCCCGTCATCCTTCATTCGGGATCGGCCCTGTCGTCAAGGGAAGCCCGACCCGGTGTTTCTACACAAGCCCAGCCCAGCCCATATGTACAATGTGTTTCTATATAAATGGTCCATGAACTTTGACCAAATGTACAATGTGATCCCTAAAATTTTAATCTGTTCAATATAGTCTGTAAATTTTAGCCCATTGTGCAATGTAATTCCCGAACTTTTAATTTGTTCAATGTGATATCTAAACTTTTAGTACATATTCAATTTGATTCCTAAAGTACATGAAATTACTCAATGTCGTCTCTGAACCTAAATTAATGGAAGGATAAAATAGGATATTTTCATATAATTTAGAAACTTGATTGAATATTTATCAAAAGTTGAGGGATCATATTGAACAAATTAAAAATTCATGGACGACATTATACATTAAGATAAAGTTTAAGGATCACATCCGACATATTAAAAAATTTAAGGGTGAATATGATCACGGTTTAGGGGCTATTTGCGTAATTATCCCGAAGAGAAAACTCAAGGGAAAGGGACTTCTTAAAAAATTTAAGGGTGAATATGATCACGGTTTAGGGGCTATTTGCATAATTATCCCGAAGAGAAAACTCAAGGGAAAGGGTAGACGGACAAGAACGTGGTTTCAAAAGGGCAGCCTCGTTGGGTTTGGTGGAGGAGGGGGGCGAAGTTGCGGTCCGGTGGGGGGGGTTTGGTTTTGAATTGAGATCGAAGCATCATCGTAAGGTCCGAAAACCCCCAACGAGGTTTGGTGAGTCATCTTCGTCTCCTCCTTTTCTTCTTGTTCATCCTTGTTCGTTTTCTGACAGCGGAGAGCGCCATTGTCGTCCCCGTGCTTTCTCTCTCTCTCTCCCCCGCGTCGTCGCCTTCAGCGAGCTCCCGATTCCGAACCAGGTAGAGAGAGAGAGAGAGAGAGAGAGAGAGAGAGGGAGCGAGAGGGGGGGGTCAAATGGCGAACTTGGAAGACGTGCCGTCCCTCGATCTCATGACGGAGCTCCTCCGCCGCATGAAGTGCAGCTCCAAGCCCGACAAACGCCTCATCCTCATCGGTAACACTCCCTCCTCCTCCTTTTCGTTTTCGCGCTCCGACGCCTCGCTGTCCGCTTCCCGCCTTCTCCCTATTGTTCTGAATCTGGCTGGATCTGGATGACCCGTGGCTTGTCCGGCCGCTTCCGCGTCGACTTTTTCGCCCGTCCCGCTTGGGGTTTCGCTCGGTTGCTTTTCTCCAACCTCCCCTTAGATTCGCGACTTGAAAAAGGGTCGAATTCGAGGTGAAAACGTTTGATGGGAAGCTGAAATTGACGAGCTTTTTGGTATCGGATAGCTCGGACGTTGCCTGGTCTATATAACAAACTCGATGGGAAAGAATGCGGGGCGGTACCGAATCGGAAAACGGTACAATTTGTGCTGTCGAAAGTGAAAGTAAATTTGGAGTTGATTTGGAGCTCGCACATTGTATTCTAGGAGCTACCGAATGAAAGGGTTCATGGTGCTTTCTTGTCGGGATTTGATGAATGATTGCGTGGGTCTGCTCGTATGTGTTGCATATGTCCAACATTAGTTCTCTGTAAGCCCTTTTTTATTTCCTGCTTGTTGCTGTTTTTTTCCCCATCTTGGACGCTTACTAGGTGTCGTGGCGCACAGGTTTATGCTATGAAGCATAGATAGATGCATATGGGGCAAGTGCCATGGCAGCACGAAGATGCTTGAACTATACAGAAGTTGTTAGAGGATTTGCATAGATTGCTATTTGCGACTTCTTTCTTATCTAGATTAATTAGGTGCAACGGCACAGTCCTTTATTTCTGAACTCCATGGGTTACTGTTTTAGAAGGACTTTTAACGTTTGATGAGCTGTATTTGTGACCATTTTAATTTTTAAACATCCCAGGAGCTATGTAGGGCGACTAAGATTGATTATGATAATCCTGACAATTGCAGGCCCACCTGGATCGGGAAAAGGTACTCAATCGCCCATTATTAAGGATGAATACTGCTTGTGCCACTTGGCCACTGGTGATATGTTAAGAGCCGCTGTTGCTGCAAAAACCCCTCTTGGAATTAAAGCTAAAGAAGCTATGGACAAGGTATAAATCTCCCTGTTTTGTCCTGTTTATTTATCCACAGCTTAATTTGCTTATGCTTCCTTTACTCGTGAACGATTCTTGATGAGGTCTCCTGTAACTTCTTACTAGGGCGAGCTTGTTTCTGATGACTTGGTTGTTGGCATTATCGATGAAGCAATGAAAAAGCCTTCATGCCAGAAGGGCTTTATTCTTGATGGCTTCCCAAGGACTGTGGTCCAAGCTCAGAAGGTGCTTTAAACTTGTCTTTGCTTTATTTTCTGTTTCGTGTTTCACGTGCATGCACACAATGACACACTCAATGCAGTATGGATTTGAGAGATGAAATGCTGAGCCAATTCTTCTGACCCAACGTTCTATCTTTCTGGCAACAGCTCGATGAAATGCTGGAAACACAGGGTGCTAAAGTCGATAAGGTGCTCAACTTTGCTATTGATGATGCAATATTGGAGGAGAGGATTACTGGTCGCTGGATACACCATGCAAGTGGCAGAACCTACCACACAAAATTTGCGCCTCCCAAAGTTCCTGGGATTGATGATGTAAGCCTCTTGACTCTGATGGTCTGTTAATTAGAGCATATACTTTGACCTCAGGACTATTGCTCAGACAATGTAGCTGAGTAAACATGGGCTCATTTTAGTACTTCTCCACTTTTGGGCAGTACTAACTGTCGCTGCTCTATTTTGTTGTAGGTCACTGGAGAACCTTTGATTCAGCGAAAGGATGATACGGCAGCTGTTCTGAAATCAAGACTGGAGGCATTCCACAAGCAAACTGAGCCGGTAATGTGCTGTCTGTGTTTCTTCAGTTCAATTAAGTTGAATGTCAAACTGTTTAGATAGGGAGCCAAAGATTCATTTCCAGCTGTGTAGTTCCTCTTATAGATGCCTGCTGATATTTGTCCATATAGGTGATTTGGATCTCAAAGTTTTCTCGAAGTGTATTCTCGATCTCAGCATTTATTGTTGAAGTTTCTTATGCCCCAATTATGACATAATCACTATGCATTTGTAGGTGATTGATTATTACTCCAAAAAGGGAACGGTTGCAAATCTTCATGCTGAGAAACCTCCCAAGGAAGTCACAGTAGAGGTCCAGACTCTGCTTTCATCATGAGAAATGTTCCCTGCGGAATAATTTAACTCTAGGATTTTGCTTTATGAAACTCCAAAGTACCTTCGATTGAGCTGAATACCCCCCCTTTCGTCATGCTTCAAATTTGATTTCCGGCTGCTATCCATACTTTTTGAGGGTTAGTTTAGTTCAATGGCCAAGAATAAAGTTACAAACAGAAGAACTTTGACAATTCTACTGGCATGGGTTGTGGGCATGCTTGTTACACCATTTAATTGGTTGATTACATCAGTTGTTACTGAATGTTCGAGCACATTCTGGCACGTGTTGTGGACATGCTACTACCGCATTCTTTTGGCTCAATTGGCAACTGATGTTTTAGCAGAAGCAAATCTGAAGCATTACTAATCGACGTGATCATCCTTAATAACATAGGAGATCGTGTACTGATGACTTACATAATTCATTGCATGGTGGATTTTCGCTGATGACAGCTAGTCTGTAGGTAGGCTGTAATTGGTCGCTTTGGTGTACTTTTTCTTTGTTCTCTGTTAGTTAGGCATTTGGGTTTCATTCATAATAAGCTAATGCGGAAGCAATCTGCTACAAGAATTAGATCACTTTAGTACATTGACTTAACAAATTGAGGGCGTTCGTTTTGTTTTGTGGGTTTTTGGCCACCGTTTCGATCTTCCTTTTAGATCTTGCTTGTGTACCGGGGCAGCTGTCATTTTTCAGGGACCAGGAAAAAAGAATTGGCATGAAATTGCACTAGTTATTAACGACTCAAAGGAGAACAAACAAGTGGTAGAAACAACTGGACAAAGTTTAAATCCATGAGCCTATGAGATGTCCTAGAGGCGAGAAAAGAGAAAAATGGAAACAAGGCTTCTGAAACTGAAGTGATTACGACTTTTGAAGCCAAATCATTCCCAGACTGGAATGGCCAAGAATAAAGAACATTCCGATGGGGCGAATATGCAAATGGAGGAGAGCAAAGAAGAAGATCAATCTCAATTTGCATGCTGGAGGAAAGAGATACTGATGAAGCCATTTGTTGTTGCACCGTTAAGGCTGAAAGGTAGTGTGAATCAATGCCTTGCAGGAATGCACGTTAGGCATGGACCCAGCGGTTTGTTCTTTACAGACTAAGTAGTTCCGTTCAAGCAAAGCTGTTTCCACCGTAAATCCAGCATTCCAACTAAACTATCTCTTTATGTTTGGCCCGATCGCTGCAACCGTACTTGGCAAAAGAACCAAAATATCCTGTTTGATTTGGGTTTTCGAGCCTATCGTTTTTGTTGACGCCCCTGTCTATTTGAAATGGGCCAAATGTCACGGCTGTCCCAAAGATTTGAAGATTGCTAGTGGTGGAGATTGGAGAGAAATCGAGCAAACAACTGTGAATAAGTTGGACAATCAGAAGAGCAAATTTCAGCTGATTGCGAGCATTAGGGTCATCCTAGGTGATCAACAACCTCCCAGCTCCTCTCATTTTTTCGAGACGATAGTCACAAGATACCATGATCTCACAATATCCAAAGCGCGTTTATGATTTTCAAATAGTCCAAGAGAAGACGAGATATCTGTTATTTGCAGCAGCATATGTGCTGAAAACTACCCATGATCTGTTGGAGGAGTTGAGAACAGCGAACAACAAAGCACAGACCCTGATGGTTACATGTCGACAGCAATCTTAGCGTCCAGATAAGTGAACTCCTGGAAATAGGCCTTGAAATGCTCATACGAATGCTTAACATCATCGACCGCGCACATCTCTCTGATGCTGTGCATCGATAACTGCGGAGCACCGACATCAACAGTGCGAATCCCCACACCACTCGCCAAAATGGGTCCTATGGTTGACCCGCAAGGCATGTCATTGCGCACTACAAAATCCTGCACACCAAAAAAAAAAAAAAAAAAGATCTAGTCTCGCCAATTAAATGAGAGGAACGAACAACTAATAGAACAATTATCTTTTCCAGCTCAGAGAGACACTAGCCTGGATAGGAAGGTTGTACTTCTGTGCTATCTCCCGGAAAACAAAGGATGTCACAGCATTGGTTGCATAGCGCTGATTGGCATTGTGCTTAATAACAAGTCCTCCATGCATCTTAGGCCGATGGTTTTCTTCATGTTTGTCCTGAGAATATAACTGTAAGTCAGGGAGCACAAGGGACGATAATACGAGTTATAGAGATCTGAGAATAGTATCTGCGTTACCATATAATTTGGATGAAGAGCATGAGCCATGTCTGCAGATACAAGAAAACTCCTCTGGATTGCTTTCTGAATCAGCTGAGGAGAAACAAGAGAATTCACGTGGATCAATGATAATGTCACTAGTCAGCACAAAATATTCCTTTTTAGCAACAAACTACAAAATAATGCAAGAAAACATCCATGCAACCAAAAAGACAACTTAAATAAATTGCCAAAAGTGGGATAGAAGAGGTGATACATTGGAGTCTGAGCCAAAGCAGCTCGTGATTCGTGACAAAGCGTCGAACATGACAGGAGATCCAGCTCCCTGGGCTGAATTAGACCCAATCTCTTCGTGATCAAACAATGCCACCATCCTAACACCAGTCTCATCGTCTAGGCTGCTTTCAGAAGAAGTGGCATCTATCAGCGCCTATCAAAAAAAAAAAAAAAAACAAGCAGTGACGTTAGATGCTTATAGTTGACAAGTATGATAATGGAGCCTATCTATCACAATATCAAAGCAGTCACAATATACCGTTGGAGAAAAAGCCTGAGTTCGTCAAGTCAAGATCTGAAGTCATTCTTTTTAATTTTTAATTAACATCGTTCCCAACATCATGTAACTTTGATGTTACTTTACAAAGATCTGAGGTCACTCTTTTGAATTGTAGAAGGAACCATAGATGCTCAAAGCCAAAGATCTCCATTCGCCTGACTCTGATACTTGACAAGAGGACTGATCTAATCATCAACAAAATCATTGAGGTCATCTCAGCAAAACCTAAGCAGAGAAATCTTTTTTTCCCTCTCATGTCTACTGGACAGAGTTCTAGTTTCGTGACAGAGGCTTCGCAACCAATACATGTCCTCCATTTGAATACCATAGATACGGAAATCTTCACCTGGTATTCAAAAGCGCGACAAGAGAAATAGAAACATCCAACAAACCTTCAATTTTGCACCTTGATAAAGCAACAATCCAGAGTATTTACTTATGGCTGTTAGAGAAACGATGCAAATTCAATTAAGGAAATTTACTATTACCAATAGAATAAAGAAAAGAAGCTCTGCAGTTCTCTTCAGTTCTGCAATTATTATGATGATAACGCATGCATACCTTTAGAGAGCAAAATGACATGCACAGATTGTCAAGTCTTCCAGAAAACAGAAACTCCTTAAGAGCACCAGCTACCACACTAGGTTGAGTGTCGCATGCTTGCAATTCAAAATCGCAAATTTCATCGGGGTCACAACCAATTTGGGTTGCCAGCATCTACGAGTAAAAGGAGGACAGTTAAGGATAGAACAATCCCAACATCCATACATATAAAGCCAAAACTCGAATTTAGCATTCACCCTAAAAATTCTAAGTATAACTTGATTTGGTGCTCACCCCAAAAAATTGTGAAGTGATCTGAACATCTACAAGAGTGATATATCCATTGTTCGGGGCATGGATACACTACAAACTCCGTATATTTATCAAGCAGATTTACAGTTTGACAGTTTACATGAAGTGCTGGATTCTAATACAGTTGTACTAAATAACAAGAGTCGATACAAAAAAATCAGTACAGCCTAACCATTTTCAGCTAAACTTGAAAAATTGATGCAATATATTATTCAGCTAGCCCGCAAAACACACACTATCCCATCTAGACCTGGCAAAAACGAACCTGAATTCCAAACCCGAGATTCCTCTCCAAAAAATAGGGTAGTTAAAAGAGATCATGCAAATTGAATCTTAATCATTCAGCTTTAGATCTTTTTACCCAAGATACGAACAATATCTCATGGTAATCACATGATTTTATAGAAGGACCTGTGTTGAATTGTTGAATTAATAGAAGTATGTAATTTGGCAACACAATTAGACATAATCAGATTAGTTGGATTATAAAAAGAGTGCACATAACCAAAATATGAAATTAGTGATTTCCTTTAAAAATTTACTTAATGCCATGATGACGAAAATTCTTTTCGATCCTAAATTGATTAAAAGACAAATATAAAAAATTGATAAATTATCAAAATAATCTTAAATTCTTAATAAATCATACAAATTGGTCTGTAAGTCCCTCTCTCTCATATTTGTCTTAAATTGAAATTCACTGCCATTGGTAATATAATAAGAAGCCTAATGTCTGTGTTTTACTTAGTGCCTCAGAAGTCAACAAATTAAAAATTAATCTACAATGGACATAACCCTTCTGCCACATATCTCAAATTTCCAAATCAGTGGTTACGGTGTGTCAGGCATACTAGTTATAATTCTTCTGAAGTTATTTTGGGAACCATCGCAATTGATGCATGAAATTTCTATCTATTGTTCCTTATGAAGTATATTTACTCCATGGAATTTATGCATACATAAGAAAAGGCTCATTTGTTGAACACAAAAATGGATCAAAGGGGGTCAAACCAAACAAACTGTGACCAAACGACCCACTGTATGACCCTAATCGGAAGGGAGCAAACTAAACTGAACAGGAACTGACCCGCCCCTTGACAGATTCTGACCTCCATTCAAAAAGATTTACAAACACTTAGATAAGCACAGAATATTGTGAGTTGGATACCTGAAGTAAAAGTGAGTGATGCTTTGGTTTATCAACGACGCTTACGTCTTCAGGACCATTTTCAGCAGCTGGTTTGTTCATCTCAGCCTGCAAAAAGAATTCACTTGATAATTGAAGCAAGATAAAAGTAAAACTTAAGCAAGATGCCCCCTACTCCTATTTGCAATCGAGCAAAACTTAGGAAGCATCAGTTTATTGCCTTGTTGACAATAGGGTGCTTTATTTATAGATGATCAAGTTTCTGAAGAAGTTTCCAGGTAAATGCCTCGGTTGATGTAGTCAATGATTTATCTTGTATTCTGCTCCCTTTTGATTTTGAGAGCTGTTTTGTACATGGCTTTAGGTTTTTGGTTCTTTCTGTATAAAGGTTTGCCACCCCTTGGTGCACTATAGTTGAAACTTTTATCTCCCCCCCGCCCCCTCCCCCCCCCAAAAAAAAAAAGTAAGAAGTTTCATGAAAGAAATAAGTTGCCTGTATTTCTATTGTCAAGCTAAAGCATAGAGGATATTCAATCAAGCTATCAATTATATCCATGGGGACATGAGTTCATGCTGACCCTTCAAAACATAGACCCAGGTAGTAGTTAAGTGAGTTAGATTCTTTCATGAAAAGATATTATGATGAATCCATATAATGAATATGAAATCAAGGCTGTCAAGAAACTAATCTTAGTTGGAGCTAGGGAATATAGAAAAGCAAACTTAGCCATATAGCTACTGAATGTGGTTTATGGAAGAGGCTTAAAGGGAAAATAGTAAAAAGAGCATTTAGCAAGAAAGCAAGCTAAGATCATGTTCAGAAGTACAATTAAAGATAGAGGATTGTTCCCACGAAAGAACTGTCTTGAGCTCATAGTCATAAGGTTACAAACAGGTAGCAGTATGTCCAATTTTGTCAAAAGAATGAGAAGGAGAATCATCTCTGACCATGATTTACTAGACGATGGCATGGTAGAACCACTGGTAAAATGAAACGCTGACATAGATTCAAGTAGCAAGACAATGAAGCTAATCAGATGAATTTCATAGATTCAGCATCCATCTTGACGAAATGAGCTTGCTAGGTACAGCAGCAGTTGTCTAAGCTGAATGCTTATTTTGATTGATTTTCATTTTATACATCTCTAAGCATCATAAAGTTGAAAACTTTTGGAATGCGAAAAACATTCACAATAAAAGAAAGCACTAGTGTTCCGAGATTACCATAATAGACGTTGCTAACACCGGAAGAAGATGAGTCTGAGTGTTCACCGTAAATCCATCATTTACACCTCTGTCCAAAAGATAAGTCAGATGCCAAGGCACTAGAACATACACAATATAATATCAGAAACATGTTACCACACAAAATAACATTAGAATAGATGACAAAATGAAGCAAAGACCTATCCAAGTGGATTGCTAAGGTCGGAATCCGCATTATTGGCTCCTCTAATCTAACAAGTCGATGTGAATACGAAGCAGAAGCATCCTTCTCTTCTCGTATCATGACACGTCCCGCAATAGTCAAGTCCCGATCAAACCACGTGTGCCACAGCCCACCTCCGTAAGTTTGCACGCCTACTTGCAGATAACCACCTTTGCTCACCTGAAGAAGCCGCCATTCTCCCAAATTAAATCTCAAGTCACCTTTTTTCCCGGAATCATATGGGATTCATATTTTGAGGCATTGAACAAATGAAAACTCAGATAGCATCAATTCGATTACCTTGGTGACAGGCTTTAGTTTCAAACAAGGACTGTCGGTGTGAGCGCCGACTATATGAAATCCATTCCCAGCAACATATCTAGCCAATCATTCGAATAAGACTCGATAAGACATCGATTGAAAACAACTAAGAGCAGTCTAAGAAAATCAAGGAAAGGATATTACTGAAAGGCGAAGCATACTTTTTACCAACGGCGAAAGCCACAATGGTAGAGTGATTTCGGGTGAAGAAGTACTTCTTTCCCGCTTCCAAGTTCCAATCTTCTCTTTCCGAAACCTGTTCATAACCCGCGTCCCGCAGCAGCCTCTTCGACTCATCTACAGCAAAAGGGAGAGAGAGAAATCGATCAAAATCAGCATTAGACAGAAGCCCGAATGAGCTGCCGATCTACCCACGAATGGGTAGTCATCAAAATGGTTTCTTTCAATCGAAAGACGCGAAACTTTCCCCAACTTTCCACTCGGGCCGCTTCTTTTTCACGTACCAGATTGGAGCGAATAGACAAAAGCAGAGGGAGGAGAGTTACCAACAGCGTGAAAAGCAGTGGGGGAAGCGTTGAGGAAGGCGACGAAGTCGGAGACGACGCTGGTTTCCTTGGCCATTGTCTCTTTCTCTCGCGTCTGATCTGTCGATGAATCTGATGATGAAGAAGAAGATGGACCCAGCTTCTGCTATTATAGCATCGAGCTGCTCAAGCTGAATAGCGCTATTAAGGAAGGATCGCGTAAGGTTTCCTCGGACAGAATCGAATACCTTTTTTTTCCGGGAAAGGTATCAATCATCCATCCTTTGGTTGCTTGTATATATGCTTGTTGCCGTCACCGTGCAGTGTTCATGCTTGGCTGTAGCCGGACGCTTCCCTCTCCCTCTAAAATATTTTATGAGAACCCCCGGTCGAACCAACTCATTATTATCTTTCATAAAATTTTCAGTTCCAATTCTGTAGCGACCCAGTCGGTTGAGGGCACAGTGTGATTGCCAGGACGAGACCCAGACAAGAAGCGGCTCCTGGCATATGGCGAGCCAAGTAGAATTGAATCGAGCGCACCAAACAGGTAAAAAGGGGCCCTGAATTATATGTGCGAAATTAAAGTGTCAAGCGTAAAACTAACAGTAAAGAGCTCATCAGAGTGTCTCCATGAGCGAACCCCGTTCATTTAAAAGTAGCCTACTGAACCTATTATGTGTTCCGTAGTGCATGTGACTGTTAGCACTTCCGCCGATGTTCGCTGTTATTTAAGTACGGAAACACATTTCGCGATGAGTTCAGGAGAGCGGGATCGGTTCCCGAGCGCATGGGCCAGTGCAAGCACAACAAAAGGATGTGTATTCAAGTTGAAGTTCGGTGATTGGCACGGTCCATGTGAGAGTCTGACAGCGGAACTCTTCTTCTAACTTCTCGTATAATATGCCACATTTCCTCTTTGACGATGCTAATAGTACATCGTCTGACAAATGTAACTCTTCTCAAAGGTGGGTGCTTGCTAGCAAATAGCATTAGATCTGACATACCAAGAAAACTTTTTTCGACGGGACCAGAAAAGACGTAAGCGCATACTTCGGTGATCGATCAACCAGAAGACTATGACATGTCCACTGTTTCTTCTTCGCCTCTAAGAAATGCGGGGAGCCACTTTGCCGACAGTTTCGGTATGCGCTTGAAATTGTTCTTGTAGTCGATGTAGTACAGCCCGAATCTTGTTGTATAGCCATCTCCAAAATCAAAGCTGTCGAACAGAGACCAGTAAATATATCCCTTCACATTTACTCCTTTCCTGCAAGACGCAGTAAGCAAGTAAATAAGTCAGGTTCAGCGCTTTGCCTATCTGGTACGCTATGAAAATTCCTTTTGACTGTTCACTGTTCAATTCAGAGTCTGAAGTTCTCTCTTTGCTTAAATAAGTGAAAAGATCCCTTTTTTGTCAAGTATGGTTAAACCAAATCCTTGTTGCTTTATGTGATGATGCTAAAATAAATGCTTTTGGCTCGAACCACTTACTTCATTCCTAGCTTGATCCGATGCAAATGCTGCAGGACAAACTTGATGCGGTGTTGATCCTTCAGTGCTTCCTTAATAGGCCTGGCATCGACTTTTGCTTCGGTGACTCCTGTCAATCAAAACTAGTCATTTAGGAAAGTGCATCTTCTTTTACAGGGACGAATAAAACCCTCTAGGATTTCAGACCATTCTCAGTGATGTAGATTTTGGGGCTTTTGTACTTCTGCTTTATGTGTTCCAGAAACTTTTGTATCCCCTTTGGATATATATAGATATAGCTGCTTCCTTCAGCCTGCAATGTTCAAATGTATAGGAGATTTTAGGAGCAATGCCTACAATGAGAATTTTCTTCCTACAAAAGCTTCTGCCTTTCCTTGCTTCATTGTTCTCATACCTTTTCACCAATCGGAATTCCGTCTTTATCAGCTGCAACAACCAAAAAAGAGCAAGTCTCAGATGTTGTTTTCAGCTTCTTCCCAGGTCATTCCGGGATAAGATATTATCAAATGTATACCTCGGATGTCTGTGTGCAAGTCAAGACCGAAGCTGGTTGGTGGTGCAGTTGGATCTACAGTTACAGCTTTGGCATATCTGGTTGTGTAGTAGTTGAAGCCAATAAAATCGAATGATCCCTTGACAAGCTCTTTCTCTACGTCGGTGAAAGTGGGTAATCTCTCTTTTACTATACTTCTCATGGAAGCTGGATACGATCCATAAACTAGTGGCTCCATGAACCTGTTGCGAGGCAATGTTTTTGAGTGGTTGAAAGATGCGGAGGGAGATGGGATGAACATTGAAGTGAAATGTGAAGATTTTGGTTACATGATGCGATCAAATGAAGAGAGTATCCAAGAGTGATACCATCTTAAAATACAGAAGCAGAATAAAGCAAACTTCGTTGAGTTATCACTTTTCCTGACAGTCTAAAATCAAGCAGCATAAAATTCATTCATTTTAACTTGAGGGGACAATCTGTTAAAGATGGATAATAAGGAACAAAGTTGTAATTACATAATATCACAGTTTTATCATGCAAAGATATGTATCATTTTTCCTTTTTGTTCTTCATGTAGGATTCGAGCAATTTTACTTACCATCCTGAGGTGAAGTCCAAGGCCCTTTTGGCGGCCTCTTTGTCTTCTGCTAAATCTGAATAGGGCTTAAAATACTGAGCTACAAGGGCTATACCAACTTCTCCACCTTGATTGGCCTAGGAACAAATTTTGAAGATTTGAAGGTACAGTTATTTTGAAGATACCAGAAACTAGAGCTGACAAAATAGATGTTATAATTGGTATAACAATCAGAATAAGGGTGAAGTATATGGCTCACTTGGAACTTATTCTTGTAGAGCCTGGCAGCAGCAGCGTGAGCAAGTATTAGGTTGTGACCCGCAACATAAGGCTCAGTGGATGAATTACCAGCTGGGCATGCATGAGCTGGGACAGAGCACCTCCCAGGCGGTGCAACTCCATAACCATAACCAAATTCTGCTATTATCAGTGGCTCGTTTATTGTGATCCACTTTTTAACCCTATCTCCGTAAGTTTTGAAACAAATTTCAGCATAATCCCTAAAATCATCCCTGGGAAAAATAGAGGAAGGAGTTGTTGAGTGATGACAATCATTTTGATATATCTAAAAAGAAGATATATCATATGACTTATCAATATAAAAAAAAGAGCTTGTGCTGCTGCTCACACAAATTTCCGATTCAAGGGCCCTCCATATTTATCTTCCAGCACTTGTGGTGGATCGAAGTGAAAAATTGTCACAAGAGGTTCAATGCCTACATTAGATCACAAGAAAAGGTCTGATCTTGATTAGCAGTCGGTGTATGGAATTTCACCTTCGAAGGTGAGTACTGAAGGAGGACATTACAACTATTTCACTATGTCATCGAACTCTAAAAGAAATGCTTACAACTGGAGAAACAGATAGCTAACAAAGTACAATAGAACAGTATTAAGTTGGTGACTGGAATGTTGAACTTTCTTGGATGCTGCAAACTGCTGAGGGGAAAGCTCTGAGCAAGATATTTCTTATATGGGCATGGAATGAAGCAATCTATTACCTTTGGAGGGAGAGACACGATGCATGCCGTTAATTCTTCTGTTGATAGAGTACTCAAGGGTGCTATTTGTTATTTGTATTAAAATGACTATTCTCTTAATTGCCAAAAAGTTGGCTTTGACTGCACAAAATAAGGATCTTTGCTCTAGGTGGGAAGTATCTTGGCCTGCTTATCTCGAGAGGATTATTGAAGTTGCTCCCATGCCAAAGTACTCTGTAGCTATGGTCTTGGAGCAGTCTGGTTGGATCCTTCGAGACATTTGAGTCTTTGGGACATCATGTGAGGGTACTGGGGTTATTAGGTTTTGATGTGTGATTTGGGACATTATATTGATTTGGGATCAGAAATTTTCTTTCAGGACAATTATAGGATTGATTTGGAAAATGTGAGCTTGTAGTGGACATTGTATCAACATAGGTTCTATGCTCAATATGATATCTCACATATCGATAAAAAAGAACAGTAACTCAGATCCTGTATCACTGTAGTACTCACCATTTTTTATTAATTCATCAATGAGATTGTTGTAATGATCGATGCCTTCTTGGTTCACTCCACCACTCAAAGATCCACCTACACGTTCCACAGTAACAAAAGCTCTAAGTTTAAAAATTGTCAAAGAAAAGCTAGAAGGTCCAACAAACTGCAAATTTTATATCATAAGCATGACTTTCAGGGAAGCAAGTTGGACGGTAAACTATAGGGAAAGTGGATTTTGTTACTGAATGATAGGGATGACACTTACCAGGCAGAATCCTTGTCCAAGAAATAGAGAATCTGTAAGCATCCACGCCAAGTTCTTTTAGCAACTTCACATCTTCCTGCAATGGCATATAAACCAATATGTCACCCAGACCCTCTTAGACTATGTGGTATAAGTTCTGATATCAAAGGCCAGAAATGTGCTTGTGCGATGTAATGAAATTCCTACCTTATAACGTCTATAAGAATCCACTGCAGTTTCTGGGGTACTCCTGTCTACAATCTTTCCTGATTAACAAAATGAGACCATCAAATATATTAGATCTGAGACAATCTGCCGATGGCGCCAGCTTAAACTTTTTTCAGAAACAATTGAGTGTTATTAGATCACAGAAGACGAAACTATTGAACAGGGGTTATGCAGTGTGACCCACCAGGGAATCTCTCAGCGTAGGTGTCCCAGGCACTTATTCCTTTCCCATATTTCCTGGCTGATCCTTCTACCTACACAAAAAGCAACACACGGAGTCATAGGTGATATCTTGCTGGGAATTAATTCAATCATGCTGCATTGCTGCTCAAGCTGAAGGATGAAAGGGATTGTGACAGCCAGAGGATGGTGATGATGCCATGGCACTAGCGATTTCGAAATGAAAAGGTTGAGTATGATAAAAAGATATATGTACCTGCACAGCAGAAGTGGCAGCTCCGAACAAGAAGTCAGCAGGAAAGTCTGACCTCTTGACGTTTAATTCAGACAGTGATGAGTTGACATTCATACCTGCAAAAGGTTTGCGAATCATCACTATGTGGAGCTGCTCCTGCCGAGCTTTACAGAGAACTTCTAAGTAAATGGGTTTGTTCAGGATGGTGCTCTAGGACATTTTACATTCCATATTTTGAGTTATGATGCGATAAATTCAATTCCATGTACTTTAACCAACTAAATCAGGGCAATTAAGTTGGTGCATCATATTAGTCAACAGAAAGAAAATGCTT